CAAAAACTCGTTGAAGTGATAAAATCACTCGATAAATTATAGTAAATACTAATTCATTTTCTATTCATCAACAACTGCAGCATTAAATTTGTTTATTATTATTATTATTGTTGGAATATTCACCGGATTACAATTTGTATAATATTATGATCAGTACGTTAACACGTAGTGTTTGTCTTTACCAAATCAAGTGTAATAATAATTATATAAGATGTGCATTAATTGATTTGTATTAGATTTTAATTTATCATGTAATGGTCAAACGAAACGCTTTAAAATGAAAATGTATTTGTCGGTATATTGAAAAAATATAAAATTGTCATTAACATCAGAATGATATGTTCTGAATAATTAATAGTGTTGGAACATCAAATTAAGCGAAAAAATATTATTTTGTCTTCGATTCATAAGAATTTAGGAAACACATTTTTCTGGATTCAATAAGAGATGGTCAAATAATTATTTAATTGTTTGTATAATCGCATTGAGTACACGTACATATAAGTTTATTAACGTGTGCAGATTAATGCTGTACTGGTGAAGTTATTACATTTTTTTGTACGAACAAAATCGTTAGGCGTTGGACAAACATGACAGCTTTCGTCGTCGCTCAATATGGAAACATTAGAAAAGTCAATAGGCACAAATAGTGTTTGGGTTTGGGGACCGGGAAGAGCTGGAAAGTCGATCGTAATAAATCTTACGGTGCACCAACGATATACCGCGCAGTGCAATCGTTAGTTGTTGAGGGTTTAAGCCCGATTAGTGCGTGCGCGCCTACGGAAACGTTACGTTCAAATTACTCTAATACTCGGGCAATTCGATTGTTCGTCACTTGGTCGCATAACCACGGTTCGTGTACGGTCGTCGCTCAGCCGTGTTACATTACGCAGTGTAGACATAAAGTATTGTACTGTACATTCGTACAATATTTATACACACCAAACGCGCCCAAAGTCAAATGTTTTATCGTTCCGGTCCGGCGCCCGGGTTATATGTTTTTATTTCGTACGCACGTACTTGACGTTTCTTCGCGCGCGCGCCCGCGCGTGTGTGTACATAAGAAGTAAATAGTTATATCGAGTTATGGTTATATATTTTACAACGACGTCCTTCTCTCTCTCGCTCTCTCCTTCTTTTTCTCATCCTCGTACGCGTGCGTATGTGTGCGTTTAACCGATGATTTTTTTACCGGCTCGGCGTGCGATGGAAACGTGTAGTACCTATATCCTAGTGTACAGCGGGGTCACGTGTGACCATTAATCATTTTGGGGTTGCCACTTCGCCGCCGCATCGTCCTTTACACCGTCGGTTGACGACGACCCGCACGCTGTTGGGGGTGAGAGCTGCGCGCGCGACGTTTATTTTCGACAAGCGCTGTTGTTATCAAGTTGTGTGGTTTTTCTTTTTTTCAATCAATACTTTGGAGGTCGCTCGACGTACGAAGGTCCCGGAACATTTGATGGGAAATAAACGGCCGCGACAGGGCGGCGATCGGAGTGCGCGCGGCAGAAGATCGAACGTGGACAACGGTTTTCAGAGTAAACGTTGTTGGACTTTCGGGCGTGTACGAGCACGGAAAAAACTGATTTCCGACGAGGCGCATTGACCACTAATAAACGTCGCGTGTATGGTTTGACAAACCGTTCGGGGGGCAGAAACGCCGCGTGAAGGTAGGCCGGACGATAATGAAACCATATTTTCGCACGAACCGTTTGTCCTGGCTTGGCTCGTCACGTCACATCGGCTCTGCGGACACCGTTGATTATGTGTGTGCCTCTGGTCGACCGGAAAAGTATCGAACGTTGTAGGTCGCCGGTCCGTCTTTGATAATTTAATCTTTTCACTCGGTTCGGAAACCTTTTCATCAAAACTGTTCATCATATGTGCATGATGGAAAAATAAAAATAATAATAAAAATCCTCGTCCGTGCGGTCATACGAATATCGCACTGTATTGCAAATAGACCCCTCGTCGTATGCGTAATTCACCGCAATGTTTTACCGAGTCAGTCGGAAACAATCGGTCGAGTTGGCCCCGTAACGAGTAGTTCGTGTTTAAGGGTTGTCTGGTCCGTGCACTCGGGGTGCTCGATGTGCCGGTGTACGCAATGGGGGAGAAAAAAAAAATCAAACAAAAATATCGTCAGCCCCCGTGATTCGCACTCCACCCTCGGAACACATGCTCGTCGTTTCGTCAGCTGTGCGTCGCCGCCCTTAGACGCGTCGTCACTGTGTACGATGCACGTGCAAACGCGTGTTAGGAGTGCGTTCGAACGCGCAGCGACCCGGATCGAGTTGCACAAATATGAACGGTCGTTGCCGTATGTATTCGAGGGACGCAGCGCGCAGCCCTTTCCTGACGACGGCTGTTGCCTTACCGTAGCACCTGCCCGGCCGATGACGGGTGACGGCGGCGATTGTAACACATCCCTTCATCGTCGATGACCGCACTGCTGTCGCGTCGCACTATTGTTCGGCTGAGAACGATCTTCTGTCCCCGCACTGCTCCGCGGACGGAGCCCAAGACGTCGTCACAGTGGCGTGGCGATGTGGGCAATCGAGTGATGGCCACCTTCTAGTTTTTTCGTGGGATGGGTGAGTATCGACAAAATAAACTTGACTGAAGACTTTTGAATTCGCCATGGCACTGCGTCATCGAATGCCCCGAACCCCGGTCACTGCCCGGTCGACGCGCGCAACGCGTTGTGCGTTTGGACGCGGCCGAGGACATGATTTTCCGGTTTAAATTCGATTCCCGTCGAACATTGAGGCCGAATGCGGGCTAAGCAATTCTCGGTCCCGTTCCGCAGCTTGGTAACGAATCCGTCTCTATCGCGTTGCCGATGCTCAGGCCATCACGAGTGGACGTGGAACGAGCGACGACCGCCGTATTACAGTTGTAAATTAATATTGATTGTTTTAACATCCACTTATCGTCTTATTACGAACCGATGAAATTTATTGTGGTCTAATGGTGGGAGAGGAAGTCGTCATTTAAACGCACTTCACGCGTGTTGACTACGAGATGAAAAACGTAACGATCGATGTTTCAACTCGTGTGTACGATAAAAATCTGTCGCTGTCATGTGGTTTAACCGGTTTGCGACGTTTATCGAGTTGACAAGTCCCATAGATTCCAGCCGTGGTCGTGCGTCTACGTCGATGAGAGGTCGTAGCCCGCCGAAAAGAAAAATAGAGGTTTTGTTTTTTGCACAGCTACACGAAGTTAAGTAAAAATTAATTGGCACCTAAGCAGACCTACACGCATATGCACACGGGTATAGTATAAACTATATAAGCTGGTTGAATACTTTACGTCGAATAAAAATAAAACGTGATTGACAAGTTGTAAGATTATTTAAAAATAATACAATTTACGAATATTATGTATTCATTCGGTCGGACCCACGCGCCAGTCGGTTAAAAATACACTATTGTGGTGTGCACAGCGTTGCGCGTATGTAAATGTAGTAGATCGAGTTCAAAAAGTGTTCAGAATATACGAAGTTATTATGTATTATACGGAATAACAATGGTATATTATTGTCGTTATACTATATTCGAGGGATTCCAAGTATTCGAAAGTGAAATACAAACATACACTCTACGTCGATCATGAATGAAACGGAATCGAAGAAAATGACAATACAAGTTCGAGTTTGGCTGACTGAGCCGTGATAAAAGAGAGCAGACAATGAGGGCGGACGCTCCCCGGGCACCTATTTATGCATAAGACGTAGAATTTATTTCATTGAAATCATTGTTCAAGCGTACAATACGGAGTCCGGAAAGGATCGGATTACGATAGATACTTAAAACGGTGAATATCAAATATTAGTGAAACTCCAAATCAAAAATAACGACCGAACATCTGATACTTAAGTGATCATCAATGAAAATCGTCAGAAGGATAAAATTATATGTTTAGAGATAGTCTTTTACATAATTATCTAGTTCAAAAATACAATAAGTGACATGTTTATTTTTCAAAAAAAGAGAAAAAACATAACGAACTTCCGGGAAAATTGAACATTATTTTTAAGATTTGTATTCATTTTTACCCGTTTACATTAGAAAGGGGGTTGAAAAAGACAGAAAATAAATTATGGTATCATTTACTATTTGAGTTTAATCACTAATACTACAATATACTTATTGAACTTTTTCAGAAAAAAAAAAAAAACTTCAAACTAGAAACTAGAAAATACAGTTATCACTTTTCTTTGAACATGTACAACATATCTATTGATTGTAAGATTAACGTAAGAATTAATTTTTATTGATTTGTGTTTAAAGTAATATACAGTGAAGGATAAATATATAAGACTAAAAATTGACGAACAGCAATACTAATCATTTCAATCGTATAAATCTACAAAAGACTTGTCTTATATTACGTCACGTAACAAAAGAAAAAATAATATTTTAGACAAGACTGATTTGATTTATATCGAAATTCCGGTGAGGGCGGGTCGTTTGTCGAGAGAAAAAAGACCAGATAATCCTAAGGATTCGTCGGAAATTCGTCACGGGGGCGGTGTCCGACCACGTTCTGAATAGAGCACGTTCTCCCCGGAGGCCATAAAGACAATTTTTTTCTTCTTGGTCATAGGCTGCACTTAACGTTCGTCAATCAATCCTTGTTGGACGTTATTTTTTTCCACCCTTCGGTTTCTAGTTGACGAAAAAACGCCGTAACACAAAAATAAAAATATATGACTCCCACCACCCTACTAATATACTAGTATAATCCTGACGCATCATTAAAAACAATATCTAAATAACAACTCTATCGATCGATCTTACACGAATCGTTAGTGGAATCGCTCGACGTACTCAGCATAAATAGATATAGGATATATCTATTTTTTAATAATATATACAAGACTTCAAATCGGTCACCCGTACTCGCCGCAAAAGAGCTCGGAATTCACTGGAAAGATGTTTTCGGATACGCGTAAATATGCTTTTGAATAATTGCGGTATGAAGCGCGTTACCTGGTTCTCCGAGTGGAGTAACTTGAGTTGGTCGTTGATCAGCGAGTACTTGGCCGACTCCTCCTTGCGTAGCGCCCGTTCCTTCTTCAGCTCCGGGCTCCAAAACGTTTTGATGCTGTGCATGCTGGAACCGAGCTTCTGGTTGGTCAGCTCCAGCTCCTTTTTGAGGTTGGACAGCTCGCGGTGCAGGTCGGTGTTCTGATGCTGGAGTTCGCCCAGGAAGTGTCCGGTGTCTCGAGCGTTGGACATGAAGTGGCCGCCACCGCCACCTAAGCCGGAACCTATGCCACCGCCGGGCGACTGCCTGGACCTGGATGATACGGCGCCGTAAGGGTCGTCGTCCAGCGAGGAGAAGCCGCCGCCACCACCATAACCACGGTCTCTGTCAAACGACCTGTAGTCGCGGTCGTGGCCGTATTGGCCACTGCCGGTTGGGTCGGACAGTATGCCACCGCCGCTGCCCGTGTTCCGGTCCAGCGACTGGTACCGGGACGGCGGCATGACGCCCATGCGGTCCACCGGTCGGCTGGCACTTCGCGACCGGTGGGACGCACCTCCACCGGGGCCCATGGCTCGTCCCCGGTCGTCCAGCAGTACAGGGCTGTTGAGGTCGTCGTCTCTGTAGTAGGAGGACGACACGCCGCCGCCACCGCCTCCTATGCCTAGGCCACCACCGCCGCCGCCTCCGATGCCCGTCTGGTACGGGTTGCCGCCGCCGCCCACGCCCCCGTGGTGGTCGGGCGATCCCGCGCCCGGTCTGACCGTCCTGCGGCCCACCGGGCTGTTCCGC